CTTCTTTTCCATCTCAAATATTAGCGCTTTTTAGAGAGTAAGTTTTCTACGGGATAGATTCGCTAACCCCATGTCCAACCCTCCTCCTTTATCCAGGCATGAGATCGGCAGTAGCCCCTGGAGGTTTAGTTTTTAAGAAGTGAGATATTTCTCTGAAGATTTGTCAATATAATTAAAGAAAAGAATTTAGTGAATCAAAATAGTAACCGACTAATTATCTAACCTGATATAATTTAGAGTTTAAGGCCTTTCAATATTTCAGAACGATTATTGAAAGCTTCATTAAACCTTAAATTTTTGGTATAATATCGAATTCTCATCATAAAGTATTGCAAAAAGTTCCCATTTCTTACTTCTTGATCGATCCTGATGACAACTATTGAGTGATCGCCAGTTAGATTGATGTTAGCAGTTCAGTCAATCAACAACTTAATTCACTTGAATAGATTATGCGATTAATGATGTATTAAAACAAACAAAATTAGATAACTTGTTGAAATATCTAGATGATAAGAACAGGTAGCCCAGATGTTCAAGCACGCAAGTAGACAACCTGAGGTCATGAAAAGTAATTTTACAAAATTTTTTTGTTATATCCAAATGAAGAATAAAGGAATTATTTATGAACTATTATTGCATATAAACAAAGATGGATAGTGGCTAACAATGGAATCCAGGAAGCGTGTTTCGTCCTATTTAGGATTTGTCTGCTGGATGCACCTGCATCTCAGAGTTGATGTTCACTCTGCGACTCGAACCCAGTAGCTTTCGCTTCAAACGCCATTGCGTTATCCACTCAGTTACTGAGTCATGATAGCCACTTGCTTGTGCAATGAGGTGAAGTTTAAATTCACTTAGTATTGTCTGTTTCAATATTCCCACTGATGTTTAGGACTGCACCTGGTAGTCTCTAATTGGCATATGTGCATACTGTGCATATTGCCTCGATATAGCCTTAATTCACAAGCATGGTAAGCAAAGGTGAATGGTTGCTAGCAGTAGAATCCAGGACGCGCGTTTCGTCCTATTTGGGACTCGTCATATATAGATATTAATTAAGTGACATTGGTAATATGTACATTAATTACATAAACTTTATATTACTTATAACCAGTTTTAAAAGGACAAGCGTTGAATTTTTAATTATGATAGTAATATATTAGTTTATTATTATTATTACTGAAATGAAATCTCAGTAATAGATTAAATACCTTATTATATGTTTTGAAACCAACCCCAAATAGCCTGGTACGAACGAGAGTGGAGAGAGTCAGCTCTCCCTCTACAAATGCTCTCACATTGCCACGTGCATACAACCACCAACAGGGAAGTCATACTCACAACTTTTTCTCAGCGAGGTTTTTGTTTACGAAATTGAGAGAACAAAAAGCGAATTCCAGGCACTTTAATCGGGTTAGTGGATACGAAGTGTATACCTATGGGGTATTGGAAAACCCTGACTCTACACGATTATTCCATATATATATCCTTATTGTTTTACCTATTGAGTAACTAGATTGTGTATATCTATATTCATCTTATTATAAGCTTCATTTTGATCTATGAATTATTACTGTACGACTTGCAGTCCCTAAAATATATTCAGTTTATTGATTATCGTCCCTCACGTTCACAGCCACATTTGACTTGATCTTGTACAAATATTATTTTCTATTTTATGGTGTGATGTGGTCTGTATGCTTGAAATGAATGATTCGCATAGCAGAAGCTGTAATTGGTGTTCTAAACTCAATTGAAAGGGCTAGGTTGATAAAGGACCAATAAGGACGCTAAATTACTCATACTGATCGAACGTCATTGATTGTCACAGTGTTAATGTCAAAGAAGTCGTATTTCCATTGGTGGGTAATTTACATGAATAAAAGCCGGACATAAAAACCAATAACGAATTAGGATAGTCCTTTGTTTATTTAGTAGTCACAACAACAAGTTCAAGGATTTTGTTATAGACGTGGCATTTTATGTCCTGAATAACACTACCAGTTAACTATCAACTATCGTACTAGACAACATTATCAGCCTCCATAGTTCCTATATTAAGAATTACTATTTATAATCCAATTATCCTAAATAAAAATACCAGATACTATTCAAATGTGAAAGAATAGAATTAATTAAGAAAAAGGTCCTGCGTTCGAATCCTCAGAGAGGGATCGTGGATCCACACTGCTGAAGAGTACCACAATAGGATGAAACGCCCGTCTAGTGCTTTCAGGTTCTCCATGGTGATCTAGCTTTATTTGACTCATGATCTCAACTATTGAAATTACTATAATATCCACAAAAACCCCTTCTGTTTATTTATTTTGTATTAAACATTTGACTACTATTCAACTTCAGTAATCCCTATTATCAACTATTAAAAACCATTATCAGCTGTTTTCCCAAATTCTCTTTTAATGATACGCATACATAATTTCTCTTCTCATAATAACTAACGACTTAAGTTCTATTTCGTCTTGATCGACAAAAAACTTAATCCCGATATACATTCACTAACAGGAGTATAACAGGGTAGTTACAGAGAAATGGTGTCTAGTTTTTTTCAGAATGACCTAACATACATGACATTGATCACCACTCAGTGATCAATCAATTGAAAATGCATCTCGGTAGTATAGGAGGTCGGTTGCGGTCCGGATAGTTCAGTGGTAACGTCTCTGACTGTGAAGCTGAGTGACACGGAATCGAATGTCAGGGAGCACCAGTTCCCCAGAAATTACAGGTACATCTAGATGACGAGTGTCAAGTAGCACGAAACCCTGTCGACCACCTCCTTATATATAATTTCTGTTGTCATGATATCTAACGACTGAAGTTCCATTGTGACTTGATCGTAAATAAATTGATCCCGATATACATTCACTAACATGAGTATAGCAGAGTAGTCACGAAGAATTGGTGTCTAGTTTTATCAAAAGTTCAGATTTTTTATCAAATCTCGAATGGAACAGTCACACAAAATTATTTATTTTAAATATAATTCGAATGTTTCATAGTTGAAATCATGAATCAATTGAAGCTAGATAACCATGGAAAACCTGGAAGCACTCGATCATCCATTGTATTGAGGCAGATACCTGTCTCTATCCGACACGGATTAGAAGTGATATTTACCAGTGATTTCAACTAAAAAGTTTACTGAATTGATAAATACTCGGAAACTTACCCTGTTAGGATCAGTACATGATGAAGGACGAAAGCAACTTAGACATAGTCTGACAACTACAGCTCCACAAAACCATCAACCTAGCGAAAGCTTATGGCGAACTGTCAGTCTTGAGTTGCATTAGCCAGAGTTGTTTGTCATTATATTTATTTAGTATGGTTACGGATATTCTTTTTGAGGTATAGCTTTCAGACTCATCAGTGGTAACAAAATGTAGTCTTTAGACTGTCTTTGTCAACAATTCCAACAAATTTTTGACGTTTTTCTCCTTTTAATGTAGAATATGCCTCAAGACTACTCTGTATCAACATATAAACTAATGGTAAAGAGTGAGGTAGCTCAGCGTGGAGACGAATTGGATGACTTTTTATCATCAAGGAACTACAATTACAGATATACTTGGTCGTAATTATGTGATTTAACACAAACGATTACTATATATGAAAACGATAGAAACCAACAAATTTGTGTTTATTTCACAAAAAATATGACCATCATGCTAACTACGCCTGGACATTTTATGCTTCCCAAGAGATCACTTGAACCAGGTTGCGTATGACTAGCCGAAACGGAAGCCAATTCACTTGATATGAAGTTTTAGAGTAGCGCAGATCGCAAGCAAGGAAGAACAAATTTCTACTTCACTCTAAATGTTGATATTCTGCAACAGAACTAGTCATGATCATCGTCCGTTCTAATGACAGATAGTGGAGTACATAAGTGCGTTGGCTACTTCACGTTTCATGTCACGTAGTAACTAGGATTGTTACACCCTTAACACGACTTATCCTCTTTCTTCGACAAATAACTATTTTAATATTCCAAGTCATTTTGTCACACATGCGTGTACAATCATATAAGTGTAAATGCCCACTTGTATCTTTCATGGCTATAAGCCACGTTTTAGCTAGGGAGATCTGAGAAACTTACCTCCGCTCCACTTCTCATCTTGCTGTTAATGAATACCTGGAATTAACCTTCTCAAAATAATTGGCATTCGAATTTTTATTACTAATATCGCCTAAACTACGTTAGCCTAGGTATAATATACGGAGTTGAGTAGGATTTTAATTTTACAGTACATTCATCGTTATGGAGCCAGATAGAGGGCCTATAGACTCATCAGGTCAGGTGGTTCAAAGATTGTTTGGCTTTTCCGCAATTATGGAATAAACAACATACACTCGGGTCGTAGGACGAATCTATCACTCAACAATCCGTCTCACATTACTTTATGGCTGTGAAAAATGGCCTCCACAAATAGATTTGTTAGTTACTAGTATTCGATCACAGATGTCTGTGAAGCGTTGCTCGTGCACGTTTAAACAAACGAGTAAGCAATGTTAAAATTAAAAATATTGTTCGCATCTGCTGGGATCACCGGGTAAGTAATAGTGAGGTTAGACACGGGGTATTAGGGAATGATAGTGAATCAGTTGATGAGGTCATAAATCTTCATCGACTGAGATGGTTGGGCTACGTGTTACATATGCGTAAACACCGATTACCACAACGCGCTATGCCGACTAGTATTGAGGATGGTTGGAAAAGAGTTAAGGGCAGACAAACCAAAACGTGGCATCAAAGCATGAAGATACTAACTTCTAGTCTGAGCCATGTTGGCAGATGCAAACTACTTGGTTTGGGTTCATTTGGCTGTTATAACCAATAGTTGGAGACTGAGTATAACATGGCTCAGAATCGATCACAATGTCGTAGGTGTATACACTCTTTATCTTCCCATAAACCACCACTAAATTAACTACTATGAATCCAGTGTTTATTTAGCTGTGCTAACGAGGTACAGCAACTTGAACCGATGATGTATAAACATGCCTGGTTCTACATTGTAGCTGATTGACTGATTACTTATATGCAGAGAGCTATGTAGAAAGATATTTTTATCATTTTGTTCAATTATTTTATTCATCTGAAATAAGTACAAACTGGTCATTCTCTTCTACATATACCGTAAACTGAATTTGTTAAGAATAGAAAAAAAAAAAATTCATTCACACATATATATGCAATGAATAATAAACGAATGCCTTAAAAAGTAACCAGTCAAAATGAAAGGAATAGGGAAGAAAGTTTTGTTTTAAAATAAAATAAAAAGAAGATAGAAACAATTGTTCACAATTAAAACATACACAAGAGGTAGTCAGAATAAAACTAATTATACCGTCATATATCTTCATGGATAGATCTTTTACAAGGAAAAATTGACTATGTACAAATAGAACAATAACAACAACAACAACAAGAAGGGGTGATATCATTTTCATCTTATGTATTATAGAACACTTTCACAACTGATTTTATATTTATATGAAATTATATCTAAATTAGTAATTAAGTAGTATTGATAGTTCTAGTAGAAAAATAATAAATTTAATAAACTAAACAATGAATAATCTTTAATTTAATATGATCAAATTATATAACACATGTTTGTTTTAGTGTATTATACCATTAAAAGTAAAAAGTACAAAATTGATTGACTTTACAAGGAAAAAAACAGAAAGACTGTTGTTTTTTTTTTACATGAAACTTTTGCTTTTTTTTTCTCTCTCTCTCTCTTTTTTTAAATTAACCATCTTTCCATTTGATCTTGAAACGTGTCACCTTATTTGTTGAAGTGTTTTTAATGTTATTGGTTGTATTAATTGAGAAGTTAGAAGAAATACTTGAACTATTAACAGGTGAGATACTAGATGATGATAAGTTATCTAAATGATTGGTTGGTGTAGAAGGATAATTATTATTATTATTACTACTACTACCTGTTTGATATTGAATATTAGGACTGTCAGAGAGTAATGGCAATGATAGAGCAGCATTTAATCGACTTCCTACTTTTGTATTAGAATTTAGACGAGTAGATCCGAAATTCCGAATAGAAGTATTGGAGTGTATGGAACTTGCGCCTTTAGAATCGGATATATGAGATTGTGATAATGTGGTAGATTGGTAGCCATTAGAATGACTCGGGATATGACTAAAATCAGTGGTTAAAGTTTCTCGCAGTGTACCAAAACGACGCTGTTCAGATGAACTCTGAGTAAACAGTGAACCACGGTACATATTTCCAACACTATGAGGTGGAATCTTTTTTCGTATAATATTACTGGGTCGCTGATTAATAAACGAAGGTGGACGACCACTGTATACTTTAGACTGCTGAGTAGGCCTTACAGTTAAAGATTGCCCTCTAGGCCAAGGAACGTTAGGAATATGAGGTGATAGAATAAAATTATTTGAAGTTCCTGAAGATTCTTCCTTGTGAGGCAAACCAAACTTTTTATCCAAGTTATCACTAGAAGATGCGTGCTCTGAATCAGGAGGTAGTGACAAGCAAGCCAAAACATCCTGGACGCATTCTTGAGGGATGAGAGAGCCAATAATGCGTTTTCCATCCTTTGACTTGAGACGTACAACTTGCATACAACGAGTTGAATTTGAACGCATCTGAAGAAAAGGCTCAATTCTAGCCCATACATTTAACACTGACCCGCTGAGAACATAATAATTACGCATTCGTAAACCGACTTCACATAATGTTCGACTTTGCATAGTTGATGAACAAAAGCCATGAAGTAACATATGAATGCAACGTCTAGCACTTTCTTTAAATATCCGGCTCCAAGGTTCTTGACATTCTGAAGGGTTAGAAACGCGGGTATATCGTTCCTGTAACTTCTCGAGTTCAATTGGTCGTGCCTGCATACCAGTATTTGGTCGATAGATACGATATAATTTTGAATCGGGTTTAGTGGTTGATCGCATAGTACGAGTTTTCACATAAACAGCCAGAACAGGTATAACAATTTTATTATTACTAACAGCGGAAGGCAAATAAAAACCGTCATTTACACCATCATGCTGAGTGTATATTTCCATAGCAGCCGACCACGGTAAACCGCGTTCAGCAGTTACTTTGTGTAAATGAACTTGAGTAGACTCCGATAAAAACCATGTATCAAAACTTTTGGTCCAGGCTATTTCCAAATTCTGACCAGAAGTGCCAAGATCCAAAATGCCGAGATCCAGACGATTATCACGCTTAGCACGTCTGGTAACCTCTTCTAATGTTTCCGAAAAGTACTGAAAGAGTGCATTTTGAATATGTACACGTATACCTAAAATACGGTTCAAAAATTTAGACATTTGATTACTATCCTTTTCACGGCATCGACCAGTAGACAAACCTACCCCCTGTAAACTAGCTTTAACATCATTGAAGAAAGACTGAGCATTTAAATTGTCCCGATCGACAGTAACGTCCAAAGACGTGTCAGTTATATAGTCGTTTGGAGGATCAACTATGCCTTCGTCACCCCAAATACAAGCACGTAATACTAACTCTAAAGCTTCTCGTCCGAGTTTAGTATCCAAATTGAACTGCGACAAATCACGAGTTTCTGTGGCTCGTCTATCACCGTGTGTCAGAGCACCAAGAGATTCTAAACGCTTAGCAACTGTAGAGGCGAAGCGCTGCTCACCAGCCAAATTAGAAATCAGAAAGATATATTTTGGAGCGCTAACCTGGTTGGATCGGTGTGTACGACCGAACTGCTGGACTGCACGATCTGCACTCCATGGAAGTTCCAGTGTTATGTGAACACGTCGGCGTTGATTAGCTGCTCTTCGATCGGCCTGAAGAGAGATACCACTACTGGCGGCCTCAGAGATAATAGCAATGAGTTTTTCTCCATTCATGAAGCGTTGTTTTTCTGTAAGATTAAGTAGTTCTAAATTGACGTCACTTTCACGACGAGATTCATAGGAAACGCGGCCATCATCCCCCATCACCATACGACCCTTTCTACCTGTCATCTCAGCAACCCGTGGGGGTCCACCCAATTTGTCAATCAGCTCATCAAGGGAGCTGGGAGGGAGCTTTGGACCAAGCTTTTCAATGAAACGCAAAAGTAAACTTTGCATTTCAATGCATTGTCGTTTAGCTTCTTCCGGAGAGACCTTCAGTTCGTTGTTAACAACCATCGACTGACTAGCTGCACCTGAAACGCGACCCATAAGATACTGTTGTGATAATTTACGAGTCAACTCATCACCCCAAATATCATCTCCAAAGTGCTTGTTGTCATCGAATCGCTTGGTTATATCACTGTTAGTGGTCGAATTGGACAGAGTCATATTGCGAGCTAGAAAGCTATCAAATAATGCGTCAGGATCCCAATCTTCATCCGAATCATCTGACAAGCAACTTGGTGAACCACCAACTTGGTTATACTTTTGTTTACGTTTGCCGGAATGAGATTGCTTTTTCGAAGAATCGGACTTTTTAGACCGATTTCGACTGGAATTGTTTGATGAATTCACTTCCAGGTCTGAATCGTAATAATCAGATGATGAATTTCCATCTGATAGGTTACAACCATTAGCTTTTCGAGGATTATTCAAATCCGAATCATCATCATCATCTGACTCATCCGAATGTTCATTACCATCATCGTCGTCAGAATCAGATCCTACACCATCAGCTTTACTGGAAGTCTCATAATCATCATTTAATTTCGATCCAGATAAACTACCACCAGCAACTAGCTTTGCAAGCATTTTTTCACCTAAAATATCTTTCAAACCAAGACCACTTCCTTGACCAGCAGCTATTGCGCGTCCTGCTCTATTGAGAGTTGTATTAGAGCTACGATCACCTGCCGATGCTAATTTATCCCCTCGGAGAGAGAAATTATCAACATTTGTTGGAGTTGGAAAATACTTTTCAACTAGACACTGGAACACACCCCTGAAAAGAAAAAGAATTTTTTCAAATAAATATGATAATGCCAATGATGGACATTGATTGAAAATATATAGATAATATGACCCACGTATTTCATGTTTCCACAATATGCGGCTTATTGGTTCTACATATGTAGTAAGTTACATGGTTCTGACAAAGACTATAGATTCTTAGATGTATCAAGCGAAACATTGTTAACAACTTTAGCTATATTGTTCCATACAAATTTATATATATTCCCTTTGTAATGATGTCATTCACTTAGCCCACAACAATACCTATAAAAATGTTCATAGAAAGTAAACTAAAAATTATTTACTTAGTATTGTTTGTTTGAATCTTCCCACTGATGTTTTCATGACTGCAACTGGTCAGTCTCTAATTGGCATATGTGCATATTGTGCGTATTGCCTCGATATAGCCTAAATTCACAAGCATTGTAAGCAAAAATGGATAATGGCTAGCAGTGGAATCCAGTTTGACGCGCGTTTCGTCCCATTTGGGACTCGTCAGCTGGATGTACCTGCATCTCAGAGTTGATGTTCACTCTGGGACCGAGTGGATAACGCGATTGTATTTGAAGCGAAAGGTACTGGGTTCGAGTCCCAGAGTGAACATCAACTCTGAGATGGAGATACATTTAACTGACGAGTCCCAAATAGGACGAAACACGCGTCCTGGATTTCACAGCTAGCCACTATCCATCTTTGCTTAAAAAAATAATTACCTAAATAATATTCATTGCTTGAAAATGTATTTAAACAATAGAGCCCAAATGTAAACCATATAACGAAGTGGAAGTTATCGAAAACTGTATTATGGATATATATTAAAATCAAGGTTTACAATAACTTACTTAGCAGTTGAGACGAATTCACCTAATTCTAAACCATATTCTTCAACTTGTTCTAAAGTTTTAGCTTCACCAGTAGACTGAAGACCAATAACAACACACTGGGTAAAAAAACAGATATTAATTATAAGCAACATTTACCGTATCTCAAAGGATCACAGAAAAAAAACCGATTACAAGTCAAATCAGATGACGTTAAATAGTAAACATAAAGGATTATATTACACAACGTGTAAAATATGAAATGAATTAGTAACAGCCACTGGTAATGACGGGTTGCTTAGTGATTGTTTGATTCCGACAATAACATGTAGGATTTATTCATGATGTGTATGGACGAAATTTATGCGTGGTATTTCGCTATTTGCACTTAAAAAATTGACTCAGTAACCGAATACGTTGTAGAGCCTACGTTCAAATAAGTGAACTCCTCAACAGTATTATTTATAAGTCATTAGAGAAACACATATTGCTAAGATGGATCAATAGAATCTCATCAAGAACTAGTTTATTCGCTTAGCTTAGCTACAAACATAAATAATAATTACAACGACTCCATGATCTATAAATTTACTTCATTTTTTGACTTCCTATTCCTTATAATCCGCATTTTATATGACATACTCGCCTATGGTAGAAGTTTTGCACGGCCTAAATGTCCAGCTGATATTTTGAATCGTATAATATAAGGAACTTGATACGACCTAACTAATACCACGTTTCTTTGAATTGCTATATCTCTGAGACCCGAATTCAAGACTCAAGTGCAGTACTAATAATTCTTTCTTCATCGACCGACAAATGAGCAATTATCTAGACGCCTTGTCGCTTCGGCATTAGGTTTTAATGCAGCTGGTATCGTAATAAGAGCGATAAGCTACAACCAGTGGGAACGTATACACGAAACCTGATCTGTTTTAGAGCATCTATCTAGACTATACTTACAGCTTTGTTTGCACATAGCTCGTATTTTGGTGGGAATCAAACATCTCATCCTATACAGACTAATATAAGCGAAAAGACTGCAGCTTCCACTGGAACAAAATATCAAACCAGATAAAATTTTAAGACCAATACCAGTAAACTGGAAAGAATGAATAAGCCGTGTTTGTGGCAACTTCGACTTTTACAACGATGACATTCTGCAAACAGCCCTGATGGAAGTGAGTTTTAGTGATGTAGGTCTGTCATTTGAAAAGAAGGCTTCGATCTAGAGTATTCGCATTATATTGTCTTACTGTACGATGATACTCAACCTATCCAGATCTCAGTCAGTTTGCAACCAATTTCTGTAGGCATGATATATACTTCACACCAACATATAGTGAGGGCGAGACAGGCTTTCGCTAATCTGGACGATCGTGATGTGTTCTATCATTGTTATATCCGAATGATTTCTGACATTCATTGGCAGCACTGTTATCAACTCTGAAGTTTGGCAACGTATGTTTAATCACAGTGAAGACAAATTAATTAATATTGTCAACTTGAAACGGCTTCTATGACCTGGACATGTGTCACATATGTCATTCAAGCGACTTCCACATCACGCATTATTTTTTCATACTGAGAGAGTGGGAAGTGTGGAGGTGATCAGTTTATAACGTGGTAGTATGGTGTGACGGGAGGGGAAGCTATATAGAACTGTCATCTATCGATCCAATACGATCATCTGGTTAGAGTTGCAGAGTTGGGGCAACTCTCATTGGCTTGATATTTTATCAGATATGACTCTGCATAGGAACTAGTGAAGATCTTGCAGTAATTTTCTCTTATATTCGTCATAAAAGTTGTAGTAACTAGTTGACAAGTTGAAGTAACAAGTTGAAAATAAACACTATCTTTATAGAAACACAATATGTAAAATTCGGGTAATATTCTACATTAAAATTTGGGAAGTATAATTCTGCAGAAAAAGAACGAAAACAAATACCAACTTACTTTACCCTCATCAACAGCAGTTTTAGCAATTTCAACACACGTTTCCACTTTGGCAGCAATGCAAAGATACTTAAAAAATCGTTGATGAGCAGACCAAAATTGTCCCCACATAGTTTTACGATAACGATCACTTAGATCTAATAAACGTGATGCTTCTGAGAAGAAGCGATATGCATACACCCACTAAATAATTTATGAGAAAGAGAACAGTTAATAGCATTTAATAACATTATTTACCATAAACTAAACAAAAAAATAAGTTATAACATCTGTAGATACGAAGTACCTAATTTTTACGTAACTGCAGTAAATTTAGTGATGAATGGATTTCCAGCAGTAGGTCTATGATGAAATTGAACAAAAATGGAGATGATAAGCAGTCTTGACGGACACCACTCAGATGACAGTTCGCCATAAGCTCTAACTCCATTAGTAATGCTTGCGTAAAGAGCTTTATAAGGTTTATGTACTTCTGAGGTACACCTTTCAATGAAAGGCACTGACACAGAACCTCTCGGTCTACAGAGTCAAATGCTGCTTTCATGTCAAGAAAAACTATTATTGTCGGACACTGATAAGTATGTCTGTGTTCTAAAATCTGACGAATGGTGAATATGTGGTCGATACAGCCACGATGGGATCTGAAGCCAGCCTGATTTTCTCGTGTTTGTAGTTCACGAGTCTTAGTTAGGCCTCCAACAATTATTTAGGCTAGTATTATAGATGCTGTATTAGTCAAACTAATCCCTATATGATTATCACAGGATGATTTTGACCATTTGTTATATATTGGGATAATCGGCGATTGCGACCAGTCAGATAGGAATACGTTCAGTTCCCAGATTTTAGCTAAAATATTAGTCAACCTAATAGTTAAAACTGGACCACCATCCTTTAAGATCCCTGGAGCCAATCCATCTGGACTAGTTGCCCTCCCTCATTTTAGATTAGCTTTAGTTTTTCGAACTGCAGTTAGAGTCAGGGGCCTACTTCAATGTTCCATTCAAGCTGTGGAAATGGTGGGTAGCTGGAGGTCAGCTGAACTGCTCCTTAAATTGTTCCGCCTATCGTTCTAAACGTCTGGACTGAGAGCAGATAAGAGTCTCATCTTTTTCCGAGATCGCCTCGCTTACACTTAACCTCTTAATTCAGGTTTCTGTTATTAGTCTGAAAAGATGTATAGTGTTACCTAAAGCCGCTGCCTTTTCCCTCTCTTTTGCTTTCGTTGCCTACCATTGCTCATGGTCGATCCTTAGACTGTTGGTTAACCAAGATCTGATTTGTTTCCGCTCTTAATCATGTTTGGAGCCTGTTGGAATAAGCTTACGAGTCTAATAGTGTGACAGATGTCGCAGAACTCCACCTGTTTTGCGTAACCGTTTGGTTCAAACCACCAGTAGATGTCTCTTCTGTTTCCACAGCTATTCGTAAATCGTTCCAAGCAACATTTGGATCAACCTAGTTTCCGAAATTGTCTAAGTGTGACTTCAGTCTGGTCACCCGGGCAGAATCACAGCACACACAAACCAAACGAAATGACAATTGCTGGGAATACTGTTCTGGCTTGAATTAAAACTCACAGAATTCACATTTATTTGATAACATTAATTTTTTAATATACTACGTTAACTATATACTCTCTCCTATTCTCACTTTGTGTAAACTTATTTTTCGACTTATGAAGCCACTCGCCTATGGTGAAAGGCCTGTCCTATTTAAACGATCTAGAGTTACTGACTGGTCGAATGTTAAATGCCACCACCGACTATGAATACTGAACCAATCTTTCTGAAACCACGTATACCATTCAAACTGGCTTGTCTTAACGTTCGTACACTAATGCAGATCAGACAACAGATAGAGTGGGCTATGTTTTCAGAAAGCCTCAACATCGATATCTGTTGTCCATCCTAGACCTGTATTCATAACTCGAATGAAGTACTACAAATTCACTCTGATGTTCATGTGTTTAAATAAATAAGAACAACAACAAAAAGTAAAAACAGTAGCAACCGTAGCAAGTAAACTTCAAATTTATTGAGGCTTTACAGAGTATTGAGAAGTAAACACAATCAAAAAATTTAAATTATTGCCATGACATATGTGGCTAAGTGAAGGCCAAACAAAAAGTGAAATTTGAAGTGTTTAAGTGCTCTGCGTATTATTTAATCTTGTATATCATAATGTCTATGTGCAATAATGAATGCCGCTTACTACAATTAACTCGGTCAGTTGGAGGTATCGACTTAAATTGAACTTTGAGTTACATCATTTAGAGAAAATTTGTACTTTAATTCGTGATCTACCACGATGTTTAGAGATATACTTGATGGATAAACAAAAGTGTCCCACTTTCAGGGTTTTTACTTAAAGTGGTTAGTTACACGTGCTTCTAAAAAATATACTAAACATAACACCTATAGTGATTAATGCATGCTATATGTCAAATAGAATATTATTAATTATTTGTTAAACAAATTACGTATTAACCATCGGAGTATACTGATCGTGTTGAGATAAAAGAGAAAAATGAAGGAACACTAACCAGGTCAGTTGACTGATTATAGACTTGGATAAAACTTTCATGCCCTAATTTGACGTTTTCTATTAGTACTTCATTAATGCTGAAATTCACACCATGAAAACTGAGCTGCCGTGCAATATACATCCCACGTAGTTTCATGTCCATAGCAACCAACTCCATAGCACCTACACCACGACGTTCAAGTGTTTGGATGAATGAATTAAAGGTTTTAAATGGTGTCCCATCTCCCCACAATCCTAGACGCGTCATATAAGCCATGTTACGAGGCTCAGTGGCACCTGTCGCACTAGCATAAACAATCCGAGCATTTGGTAGTTTGTTCTGTAATTCAAGCACAGTTAGACCTGTTTTTGTAGGTTTTTGAGAACCACTAGGAGTTAAATTTTTAGCTCGATGACATTCGTCAAACACAATCTGTGGGGGAAAGTAAAATTATTATTGGAAAATAACACAGTTTACAACGATGACAAGACGAGGGTGTTAGTATATAGTAAACAAAAGAAAAATTTTACTTCTAACAGCAAATCCCATAAAGATAAGATATTTTGAATTTATGAAGTTGGTTACATTTCGTATGATCACTGGAAATTGTAAGTGCCCGCCTTTGAAAGGATTTGGAATGTTACCAGAATCCAATGACAAGTTGACTAGATAAAGAATTATACCTTGAAGGATCAGAAAATCTTTACATATGAGCACTTTTTCCTAACATGTTCAGATTTCAAAGAATTTCTTACATTATTTAGCAACTCTACATATTATACTTTAGTTAAGCCTTTGTTATCCAAATTGATAACTCTAATGCCTAGTATTTTACGGACACTACTTCATTCAACTGATCACCAAATCAGAATACAGTTTGGACAGGATGATAATCATATTCCAAAATAAACCAAGTTGAATGAAGGCGAATTACAGAAAGTAAAATGTTACTATAATTATAATGTTTACACAAGATTCTAGAATATTCCCCTATTTACCCAATAGCGCTGGTTCGTTAAAAACAGGGTAAGCAACGTGCCTCGACATAATCCTGAATGGAACAAGCTTCAAGCTGATGACTGAAATTATACGACCGCTTAGAACATTTTTAGTAAATTGTTTCATTCATAGAGATGTCGACGAAGGTTTATTTCAGACAGCTATCTTAACAAATAAGGTGAATGTTGAAGTTAGGAAAAAAGTTTTAAAAGATAAACCAGTTGTCTAAACCGCTTGACATCAGTTAAACGTCAACTTTTGCAAGCAAATGAAGAACAATACGGTTAGCATAATCCCTTCCATTCTAAATGACAAGAATATTAGCCCTCCATAGTACCATATAAAAGTCCGCAAATTCCCTGGTGTAGCCGAGAGTGGAGAGAGTCCGCTCACTCTCTCCAAATGCTCTCATATGGCCACGCGAATATATAGCCTCTGCCACACAAGTCCTACTCACTGCCTTCTCGTGGCACTACTGTTGTTTACGAAATTGAGAGGACGAAAAGTGAATGTCCGGCGCTTTAACCTGGTTTGGTGGATATAGAGGATCCACCTAGGGGAGTTGAAAACCCTGATTCCAAACCAATGGTGAACATGGGCTCCAGTATCCTGAGGGAACTAATGGCGTACGAATCAATCGTTGATCACCGCCTACCATGATAATGCATCTCCTCACGATGCTCCACTGCCTTGTGGATCAGATCTTTCGGTCAAAGGCTCCAGGTGTGGTCCCCTAAGAAAACCACCTGCTTCAGTATGGGCACCTCGGCAGTATCACAGCCCTCACACAAATCAAATGAGATTTGTGAGGCGCACATAAATCAGGGGCTTCTTTGTACCAATATTTATGTGTTTAAATAAAATAATAAATTATAAATAAAAATGGGGGAGAAAGAAAATACTAATTCTTAGCTTACCACACCATCAAACTTTTTCCCACACCAATGAACAAGTTGTTTTAATCGAGTTTTATATTTAGCTTTTGCACTACCTTGACTTTCACCAATCAATGAGGAATAAGTTGAAAAAATAACACCCTTTTTTACACGTCCATTAGTTTTACCAGAAATACGAGCATATTTAAACTGAATAGGGAAAAAAACATAGAAATGTGGAAAAAAAACTATATCTACACGGTAATAACTGGTTTTATGATGAATAAACTACACTAAAATGATGCTGAAAATTGACTGATTGTTGTGACTTCTATGGATACACAATAGTGTTACGATAACAACCACATATACACCCACTCTGTATCAAAATAAAGGTAAATATCTGATTAATGTTTAGTCGGTTTTCTTTTTCCCTTACATCATTATGGAAAAATAACCAGAGATTTATTCCAAATTGCAATACGTCATCACGAAAGTCAGTACACATACCTTTGTTGAACACAATCAAATTTATTGTTTTGTTGAATATACTTGACGATGTTGCGTACATGGAAAAATCACTTCTACATACGTGCGCGAATTACTGACGAGCACGAAAGGATGCCTTCAAAAATGATAATTAGATATCATCTATTCAGTCTATATCATCTTTGTCAAGCGCCCATAAAAGAGTATTGCTAAATGAAATCTTACTTTCTGTTCATATATTTTATTAGTTTTATTTACGAGTAGAATCCTGAAGAGGTAGGTTGTACATAAAACTAGACAGCCAGTCCTACGGAATGACTACGACGACGTGGATTATAGATGAAGATTTACAAAAAAACATACTTCGCCTAATACGACTAGATTCTATAGGTGAATAAGAACAACGATTGAAATACAAAGCAGTTAAATAAACATCAGGATCAATAATGAATGGACCTTATGTAGTCCGAGGCGAACAGTCTCACCTTGTTTAAGGAATGAACCTTGATCTTTCCCAAACCCACGTCACGCAGATCGCGTTCAGCATCGACCTTCAAATCATTTGAAACTGAGAGCCAAATGGCCTTCTTACGATGTCGCAAATAATTTTCATATAATATTCCGGCAATGGTGCGACCTTTTCCCACACCTGCCCCGTCGCCTGTGGTGGAGCAAGCAAATGCACCACTTTAAGAAATATTGTAATAATTCACCCGCAATATCATCAAATAATATGAATAAACAAAAGTAAATATCGAAGGATACTGTGGTGTTCTCATTGCCACAAGTCAGTTTGTATTGTCAGCGGAAAAACGGCAACTATACACTTGATGAATAATCAAAAAAATTCTAGCGCCTAGGAGCTGCTCGTCCATAAGTCAATGACAGAAAACTGAACACAATCTAAGAAATCATACAAAAGTACGACACTTTACGTTGCTATACTGCGCACTAACTAACAACAGTACAACTTTTTCTTAATAATTGAAACAGTACAGTAGCTTTTTGATATACTATTGTTTAATCATGAGTTTCAAACTTACAGTAACAATGTGTTAAATAATGGTATATATGAAAAAGGAGAGAATTTCTGAAAAGACAGTTATGTACATGTAATGAAAATGGTTTCTTACCTGGATGAAAATGTGTATATATTCTCGACTAAAATGAAGCAACTTCATAATGCTTAAAATTTTGAAACTACTGGAGGTTGACTGAACTACAAAGTGTTTAGGGAAATATTGGTTTTGCCTCCCATAACAAGCTTACGACTATGACACTATTGTCAATATTGAAAAATATGAATACAGTAATATTTCGTTTTACCGATATTCAGTTTTGTATGTAATGCTTCTAATATTTACAACCCATAAAATGTCATTGAGTAATGACCGTTCCAAATCGCTGAATATTCAGAGATCCTAAGTCTGACCACGACTTAAACTATAGCCAGATTAGTTGGTTTTCTTGTTATATTGATTAGCAGGTAAATAACTAGTTATTACCCAAGGACCTACCACTTAACCTCTTCAACATGGAATCGTTAACCGATTGTACCGTTAAAATGTAACAATCGCATGCTACATCAGTTAGATACTTGAGGTCACTGAATAAGCTACTTAATTCGTGACAGGATAAGGGTTTTTAGTTAGGGTATACAAAGAGATTACTCACGCTGCACAAATAAAAAACCTATTCTGAAAAGTATAGTTGACAGACAAATATTAACCCTTAAACTACTCTGTTAGTTATGATCAACAAATAATTTAGCAGAAATGTGCACTGACTACAGTCCTCGCAACAATATTGCAAAATGAGGTAGAAAAAATTAACTTGAGTAGTAAAAGAAATTGTAATCATTTAACAGTAATGATAGTAATAAAGGTTGAATATTAAGAATACAATTTCTAAAAATAGAAAAATTGTGTAGGGGAGAATAATGGGACTTAACATCTAAAGTAAAATAAAGAGTGCATCTGGGCAAGTATAAACGATTTTGAATCACTTCACTGTCTCTAATTGTTGAACGCAGTTATAACACAGACACCAATTAGGTAGTCTGCATCCACCCACATGGCTCAGATCAACAGTCAGTGATTTGATGGACCAATTCCAAATGTTGGTTTGGGGTTTCCTAGCTTTCTTCCAAACTACTTCTGTAATATCAAGCATCGCAATTCGAAGTAAGGGGTTACCAGACATACAAAGAGTGCTACCTAACCACATTGGTCAAGGAATATTTACAACAGTATCAAGGGATTTATCATTTTTACATAGTACCCTATCCCTAATCTTAGCATTGCTCACTCGTTAGTTCCATGGAACCTAAGCAATGCTTCGAAAACACATGACTAAAACCTTTTAGCCTAAGTAGGTCTTTCAACTTTGTAGAACATATTTCACAACCACAAGATGAATCAAAACAGACTTCTTTGCAGTATACACGCCTCTTGGTTGACAGACAGACATCTCGCCCAAACCACAAGTGACTCAAGTTTGCAAACTCCAATCGGGTTTTTTGAACCCGTGCTGAGGTTTCATCAGACACCAGAACATCAGGACTGATGAGAACCCCAAGATAAACTGAGAGGTCGATACGACCGACTTCACTCCTTATCATCAATTCAGGCATTGATGCAGACTAGTCTTGAAACAACACTTTGCATTTAAAGGGAGAGGATCGCATCTCAAACATGCCTGGATTGTTGGTCAAAGTTGTCAAAGGACTGTATTTTGTCGGGGTCTTCATCAAGCAGAACTATATCATCTGCGCATTCCAAGTGATCTCTCGGTGCAAGTTCAGACAATTATTATTATCGCTAAAAGTTTATAACAAAGTCAAATAAAAATGGGGAAATTGGACAACCCTGATGAACTACACCTGGAGTTATCAATTTCAATACCAGTTAGCCATAAACTCTGACTTGACCAAAACACTAACAGGGTCAATGAACCTCTTAGGTACGCCTTTCAATGACAGATACACAGAATCTCTTGACCAAGAGTCGAACGCATCAACATATGTTAAGTAGCATTGTAGTGGTCTTTCACACACAAAAAAACAATCCTTTAAAAACTTTGAGATCCATTCCTCAAATCGCAATGGCCAAAATGAATACATAAATTCACATCGAGTTATATATAACACAGCTTACAGTTTTGTTAAGCGACGAAAATGTATGATAAATACTATGCAAAGAACAAATAACGTACCAATTAAAAACCCAGCACGCTGACCATTCGGTAAGATACACTCATGACGTTGACAAGCGTACACCACTGCCTCCAGTTGTAAAGCTGAAAGATATGCTCGATCAATAACTTCATCCGGAAGAATCAAACGATAGTGAATATCGGGAGGAGAAACACTGGACAAGGAACTCGACTCGACAACGGGATCTGGATGCTTTTGTCCATAATTCACTGAAATAATAAGAACATCAGTATATCTTAAAATCATATAAGGTTATTATTATCAATGGCTTTAGTCAATATATTTTTGGTACGATATAGGTATTTCAACCAGTTTCTTGTACAAAAAAAAGGAAAAAAGTGAAACTGATAACTGCACACATATACACGAAAGTTAAGTATATAAGCTACCTGAAATTAAATGAAATGTCTTTTTTTAAGAATATTTGAATCTGTACAGCTTTTTCTGGTTAAAAACATTGAGTGTGTGGATTCTAATGTATTGACGTCTCGTTCTGCCAGAAGATACACTGTCATGAACGAGAGCTTAGGTGAGGAAGACCAATTTATTATTTAATACAAAATTACAATGTCTTGGTAAAATATGAAACCCATACATTGAATACATCATATGCACATCTTTTATCCATCGTTTATTAATATTTCATCATTCCCTCATTTCGGTTGTTATCACAGTTACTCTTTGTATACATTCTTATTCTTTTTAATTTGATCTTCCCAATCTTCTGCAGTCAGGCATTCCACCTCTTATTGATGTTACATACTACCCATACCTGACAACATAAGTGGAGTACACAATACAAAGAGAAAGATACGAATGAAATGGATAGTTAGTATCTTATAAGATAACACTTGCCAGAAGTTTGCAGGACTTTAGATATCTATCTACAATTATATTAATAATGATCCCAAAAGATTCACCACACACCCTACTGTCTTCAGCACTTTTCGCAATAAAGCAGTCTTTTCTCAAAAGCCCGAGAGAGAATAATGAAGAACAGGAAAGACTAATAGGTAATATGAAAGAATTGACAGGTTGTAAATGTCGAGTTATTGTTATATCCGTACGAAGAATAAGAGAAGGGTAACTGCTAAGATCTATTTATGGACTGTTAAATATCATCTTATTATGTAACTATTAAGTATATATATAATGATTTGTTTGCATATAAACTGAGTATGTCCGAAATACATGATTCATATAACGGAGGCTGATATTAGTGTTCTGGACTAAACCGGCTGGGTTAGACGAAAAGCTAATATCTTGCAGAATCAGTCAGAATCTCAGAGTCGAGCGAATCTAACCGTGATCACAAAAAGTTATGCTTAGTGTTATTTGTGAAATCACAAAGTTTTGATGAGAATAAATTCTGCATTACCTAGATCAGTCTACAAATCACTAAATATGTGGAATTACTAAACCTATTACTCACAAGAACAGGCTCAAATACAATTTATTGGATGTATTGAGGATGTTGAAGTTGATAATTATGGGAAGACACTGATTAAATTGCCCATAAATCTCGATCGAAGTCATTACAAGAACAAATGGATGTCAAATAGCTTACTTAACTGTACCCATTATATTCCAGTAGCGAACATTTTCAAACAAAAATAAATTGCTTTTTCAGCGGCCTGCGAATGCCCTGGTACGGTCGAAGGTTGGGAGAGTCTGCTCTCTCTTGAAATGCCCTCACGTGGTTACGCGTATACAGCCAGTGTCAGGGAAGTCCTACTTACTACCTTCTCGTGACAGGGGTGTTGTTTGCGAAAATGAAAGGACGAAAGGTGAATATATGGCGCTTTAATAGGGTTGGTGGACATGGAGGGTCTATTCAGGAGAGTTAGAAAACGCTGACTCCATACCAAAAGTGTACATGGGCTTCAGAATCCTGAGGGAACAAATGGCGTATGGACCTATTATTAGTTACCGGCTACTATGGAACTGCACCTACTAAGTTTGCTCCACTGTCTTGTGTGCTTGACTACAAATTATCGAAACTCCGATACACGTAACACACTTAGGCTTAACAAAACTTGTTATTTTTCGATTGTTGAAAAGATGATACAAAAAGATTTTTTACCAGAACAGCGGAGAACACAAGTTGATAAGTTGAGACAAAGGGTTACAAGTTTAGAGTGAAAAACTGGAAACAAATAAACTTGTGTCACTAGACATAACACTTGAAATCCCAGTTTGAATAGCAGGTTACTTATTTGTGGTCCACCGTCAACTTAAGTTATAACATCAGGACTTCGACTCCTATGAAAGCTGTAGTAAAAATTTCGTTACTATTGCGAATGTTACTCAGTGACAGAATATAGGTTTATGTACTAAGACTCCAGTCATGCATTCTTCAAAATTAATATAATACCCTTTTCAGCAATTCCTTTTGGCTTAAGTCATCAGATTGTGGAAAATAGCCACTGCAGAATGACGGCTAATAGGGTAAACATGAAAATACTGAATTAGTGGGTCGCATATGACTTTGAGACATATCTTATTTCCTTAGGTTTGGTATTTAAGTGAATGTTGGCTAAACTGATCTCTTTGTAGCCATTGAGAAAGCTTTGTTATTTCTTCTAAACAACACCTAATGGTTTAGGTGTGTCGACGGAATCCATTTCTGACCTCCATGCCAATCGGTACCTCCCTTAGTAAAGCCCTTAATATTGGACCCCAACTCTGAAAACGTTTGAAAGACGAACATTATGTCGTGCTCCTTCATCCCATTTTTCCAACTCCAGGAGGAAATAAAGTCCCTTTTAACGTTTTGTTTTGAGTTAGTCGAAGTGATTTTCAAGTTTTGTTACTAAGATGTAACCGACTGTTTAATAAGGCTATTAACGGGTCGGACAATTTGATAGTAGTCATATTGACGACTATCTTATTCAGGTCAGTGTATTTAATGAAAATATATGTAAATTGCCGTAAAGTAGGTGTCCCGTCAACAACTACTATATAGACGCTTAAACAATTTGTTTGCTTTATTACTTAAGGTCAAAATTATGAAGCAGGAATATGAACAAATCATATGCGTTATTTCAAAAAATGTTTACACTATCCGAAGGCTGTAGTATGCAAAACTACCAGGCATTAAATCTCCTAATGCTGGTCCTGTAGCATACATAACCATTAATGTTGCACGAAACTAGAAATAGAGCACAACCAATGTGCACTGCACTAAGTATGGTGCATGTATATTGTGAAAACATTAATTCACTTACGTTTTGACGGAATATATTCAGCATACGTTTCAGCTTGAGCTAAATCTTCATCTTCGTCCATGTCTTCATCTCGCTAAAAGAGAGCATAAACGACATCACGTTTCTCGATAGCATACTACAATGATTTCAAAAAATCACGTTTGTAAACAACACAACACATCAATATTAGAAGCAAATTTATATAGCAATCAACAAATCCATCTATACATTAAACTCTTATTATTTTTAACGTAGCCAAACTTCCTAATAGCCATTATAATAGCTTTAACCTAGACTCCTGAACCTGTGAGGTATAGACAACTGTATGTTTATTTTCTCAATAATGTGAAGACTAACTCAAACTAGTAGTTGATCTTCCTTAAAACAAACGTATTCAATAATGCAGAGAAAGAAAAAAAACTTTTTGTACAGTAGGAAAAGACTTCTTATTTCCTTCAAAACACAAATATTAGTGCAAATGAGAACCGAAATCGATCGGCGCGAAATAAATAGGACAATGAAAAAAGGGAAGTGTAAATCAACATTAGCAATCGAAAGAAAACAACTGAACAAGAATCGTTTGTTACAGAAAAGTTCTGAGTAAAATAAATACAGAAATTCTCCTGGTTATGCTAGTTAATACAACTTTTATGACGAATATAAGAGAAAATTACTGCAAGATCTTCACTAGTTCCTATTCTGAGTCACATCTGATAAAATATCAAGCCAGTGAGTTGCCCCAACTCTACAACTCTTAACAGACGATTCAAATGGTTCAAATGGTTGAGGACGGAATAGTAGAAGTTTTCGCTTAACGAGCTTTGGTGTCTGGTAGCAGTGGATCACCAATAACTCCAGACAAGAGCCCAGGTATATGAACGATAATAGAGGAAAAAAAGAATTTGGTAAATCATAATAATATGTTATCCTTAGTCCTTAAGAATAAGTCAAGTTTCCTCTTAAAGGACTCCTGGGAGGTCGCTTGGACTAGCTCAGTCGGCAGTGAATTCCAGCACTTGACAACTCTAACGGAGTAGAAGTTGTGTCTGCAGTCTGTTCTGCTATGTAGGGTCTCCAATTTCTGGGTGTTACCTCTGAGGTTAGTGTTATGACTAAGCTTAAGAAGATGTTTAAGGGGATGACCAGAAGTATTAAGGATACTATAAGTCATAAGAAGATCACCTCTAAGACGCCTGTACTCTAACGGGTAAAAGTTAAGTGATTTGAGGCTCTCTTCATAAGGTTTGAATTTGAGACCCCGAACTGATTTCGTGGCTCGACGTTGTATACGTTCCAGAGTGACCTTATCCTTTTGGAGGGAGGGAGGAAATACTATGTTTCCGTACTCTAAGTGGGGACGAATAAAACTGTTGAAGATTATATGGAAGGTTCTACCGTCAAACTGGCCAAAAATGCGCTTCAATGTTACCAGTGCAAGGTTTGCTTGAGAGGCGTTTTTGTCACAGTTCGCATACGATTTCAGGTCGTAGGGTACCAACACTCCTAAATCTTTTTCAACTTGGAAAACTTCTAGAGGGGAGTTACCTAAGTTATAACTATAGTCTGCAACATGTCTCAGATGAACTACCTTGCACTTTGAAGTGTTGAAGGTAAGTCCGTTGTCGTCTGCCCAACTTTGAAGTCGGGTCAGATCCTCCTGAAGAACTAGTATATCATTATGACTACGTATCTCTCTCCAAAGTTTCACATCATCAGCAAAAAGCAATAAGTTAGATGAAGCTTGTTGAGGAAGATCGTTAATATAAATCAAGAAGAGAAGAGGTCCTAGTATTGAGCCCTGGAGGAACCCACTAGGACATTCTGTAACCCGAGAGAGAGATTGAAGTTAACCCTGACCTTAAAGTGTCGGTTTCCTAAATATGAAGAGAGCCAATCAATCAAAGGGGTTTTTATACCCAATCGTCCAAGCTTCTTGATAAGACATGCGTGGTTGACCCTATCAAAAGCTTTGGAGAAGTCCAGGTAGATGACGTCAACATTCCCCTTGCGATCAAGGATGGTTGTCCATCTATCCACCGCAGTCAGCAGGTTGGTCATACAAGAATGACCATGCTGTTGAGACGAGAACTTTGAGGATGATAAGCATTCTAGTATACTGTCGTATACTAGGGATTCCATAATTTTGGAAGGTATGGAGAGAAGGGCCACTGGTCGGTAGCTTGAGGGTTCACTTCGTCGACCTCCTTTGAAAATTGGTGTGATGTGGGCCAGCTTCCATATTTCCTGTAGTTTGCCTCTGCTTAGCGAGTGTGCAAACATCACGCTAAGTGGTGTCGCCAGGATTGAAGCTGCTTCCCTCAATACAGCGGAATGAATCATGTCCGGACCAGAAGTGTCTTTTCTTAGGTGCTGCAGTTTACGGAGCACCAGGTCAGCACTCAGGTCCAATTCGGAAAGTCCTGTAGAGGTGCAGGTGAAGCTTTCGTCAGTATGGTTGATGTGGGTCAGCTGGAATGTCCGGGAGTATTGTTCAGCCAAAAGGTTAGCGGCATCACTGTCGTTATTGGTCGGGCCATTAGGACCAAGCAGTTGGGAAACTCCAGTTTTGCCTTGTCAAAGAGAAGCTGCGTGACGGAATAAGCTCTTCGGATTGGAGACAAATCTATCGATAAGCTTGGTCTGGAACTGAAGCCTGTCTTCTCTTATTGCCTTTGTGCATATGTTCCTAATATGTTTGTATTGCCTGTACGCGCCGTTGTTATCAGTTCGTTTATATTCAGCCAAACAGTGTCTTTTGCGTCTTAGCAAACGACGCGTGCGGTTCTTGATGATTGGGAGTTGCTTGTAGCTTTTTGGGACCATTTTAGGAACTGAATGCTCAGTAGCACATAAGATCGTGTGCAGTAAAAAATCCCAATGAGCATCCACTTAAAGTTGAGGGTGAACATCCCAATCCACCTGTTGTAGATAGTCCTGTAAAGCTAACACACTCAACCGTTTGAAGTTCCATCGCTTGTTGCTAGTAGGATATCGTAGCTCCGTTTTGCTGACAAAGCTGAATGATAAGACGGCGTGATCACTTCTCCCCAGAGGAGCCAGGATTGAGGGGTCGTCAACTAGGAATTCTTCATTTGTGAATACCCAGTCTAAGCGCGACGGCGTCTGACTGTTTCTCCAACGGGTTGCCGACTTCACATCAGACCGATAGATGAGTCCTATATAGCTTCCCCTCCCGTCACACCATACTACCACGTTATAAACTGATCACCTCCACACTTCCCACTCTCTCAGTATGAAAAAATAATGCGTGATGTGGAAGTCGCTTGAATGACATATGTGACACATGTCCAGGTCATAGAAGCCGTTTCAAGTTGACAATATTAATTAATTTGTCTTCACTGTGGTTAAACATACGTTGCCAAACTTCAGAGTTGATAACAGTGCTGCCAATGAATGTCAGAAATCATTCGGATATAACAATGATAGAACACATCACGATTGTCCAGATTAGCGAAAGCCTGTCTCGCCCTCACTATATGTTGGTGTGAAGTATATATCATGCCTACAGAAATTGGTTGCAAACTGACTGAGATCTGGATAGGTTGAGTATCATCGTACAGTAAGACAATATAATGCGAATACTCTAGATCGAAGCCTTCTTTTCAAATGACAGACGTACATCACTAAAACCCACTTCCATCAGAGTTGTTTCCTGAATATTGTCGATGGAAAGTTGAAGGTGAGTTATGAAACTGAGCGACTCTGAGTAACCTTGCTCCTTGGGTGCAACAATGGAGATAGGTGGCTTTGTGCTCTTACTCTGAGTGAGGTATTTGTATACAAAGCCCTCAAAATGTTAGTAAACTTTATAAGCATACAATTCTAACGAAGCCAGAGTACAATCTTGTTGGACGAATTATATCTCCAAGTGCCTAGATCAATGAGTTATTACAAGACCAATGCTATTAGCATTCAGCTACTATTGAATCAAAAAGACGTTGGATATTTGCAGTCGAATTTGTACATAAGAATGTCTGAAAGTCCATGTCAACAATTAGCATATGCATCAGTCTCGGTATTACTAGGTACCTTTGAAGCTGATAAGCAGTAACAGAAAGTAATTTTAATGGAATTGATTTACGATTAAAGAATAGATGTGAACGAGCAACGCAAAACTTGGACAGGAGTGTGAGACACAGGTTATAAAAATCGACGCTGTGAAATTCAGGAACTCAGACCACCTTAAGTTTAATAATAGATATTTGAACAAAAATTAGAAACTTACTTTTATTAATGGGTATGGTCTGGGAGTTATTTGAGTATGACTAGGTACCCGGACGCAGTGAGGAGGCAAGGATGGTCGTGAAACATTGGGAGTTTCATACCATTTACTTGAGTTAGTTGGGACAGTACCCACCCCAGAAAATGTGATTTGGTGGCTAACGTCTCTGTCTACTGGACCATGATTAAGTACACGTCTGATTTTTGAAATAGGCTGACTAGTTTCGACAAGCGAAGGAGGCCTTTTTCGTATGATGTTTGGAACGTGAGTAATTCCAGACATTGTAAGACCATTATCAGAAGGCTTCTTTAACAACTGACTAGCCATTCGAGGAGGATAAGCTTGCTGAATTGGTGAATTGTTGCCATTTCCCGATGGAACAACCCTCAGTATGGTGGTGCCTTGGGCATTGAGAACTTTAACGTTTGGATTCACAGTAACTGAAACTGAAGGGGTATTAGAGTGAACTTCTTGAGCTTTCAAAGAGGATGGAGCAATCCCAGCATTTATGAGAGCACTGAGGATGATGTCATTTTGAGAAGCACTAGAAGCTTCTTCTGAAGCCTTCTGAGTATTTTGCATGGAAGATAACTGTAAAGTATTGTCGGGATACGTGATGTAAGGTTCAGGTTTCAGAAAGTCATTCGAACTATCAACTGACGCTTGTAGACTGTCACACGATTTAACATTTCCGCTGTCGAAATCCTTAGTTGCGAGACCTTTAAGTGCATCCTCAAAAATGGAAACAGGATCCATATCGCTAAAAAACAAGAACAAACAACAATTAATCCGGAAACAGCAAACACACCAAAGAGTTCATAAAACACTCGTGATTATCATGTCACTTTGTATTGACACTATGCAATGATTGACAGTCAATAAGATATTTAAAATAAAGCTTTGCCTATCACTACTCGAACGCATGTAGTTTGTCTGGAGTCCTGGATATTTACGTAGTTTATCAAGTAGAGACCGACGACTGCAATGGATAGGTGGAACTTGAAACTGAACTTCGTAACCTAGAAAAATTTAAATGAGACATACTCTCATGACACCACACAATCAGTAAATTAATGATTAATTTTAAACGAGTCGGTGCATTTATGTGTCAGGAAAAAGCATACTCAAAGAACGGTGTTCAGTCAACATGACATTTGTTTCGATATTCTGGTCAGACAACACAAGCAGAATAGAGAAGGGTGAAGACTGAAATCTTATTGGTAACTTTGTGGTGGCTACAGGAAGAGTTTTATAACGGGTTTGTTCCGATTAATGTTACAATAGTAACCTACTGCCAAAGAGCAAACGTGATGGAACAATTAACTATACTAGCTGATGAGATACTACTGTAACTGACAAATTATTTCAGATAAGACACTTAGTTTAGAAATATGCGTCTTTCGTACAAAAAATAACCCCTTGGATATTATGTTTATTCCGTTGGCCTTAACTTTGTTCCTGAAAAATCCTAACATCACATAATAACTAAATCCAATATTTTGTCGATAACCAAAATTCCAATTATTCAGGATCAACAACAGTCAAACTGTTCTTTTTGTGAACTCGTCGGAAGAATAGACTAATTTAGTGCGTTTTCGATTAGCGTTAGAGGAATCCAATGTAGTTAGTGACAGACTGTTATTCAGTGACCCGAAACTGGATTTAATCAAAGCTTAGAGATTGGATATTTGAAATTAAAAAGGCAGTCGAAATTAACTTTGAAGGGAATGGGCTATTGCAAACTATACCATGAGATCCTAGTCGTGAAGCTAACTCAAGACAAGACGGATGGTAAGCTTCGAGTTCTGGACCAACGATGTCAAGCGCTCAATGTTATCTGCACATCCGCTGGGAACGCTCTTCCAACTTGGAGGGCGATATGTTATAGGAGTAGGGTGAAAGCTGAGAGCGACTAGGAAAGCATTAATTTAACTGATTATTTCTTAGGCTTAGTCATATAAGTGGATATAGATTACCTGGTCGGGATTCCCGCGACTACCATAATCAACAGTTTATGTAGCTAGGCTCGGACTCGTCCAAAATGGTAAGGGCGGACCTATTCTTTATGTCCTTAGACCCTAGACACAAAACCTAATACTTTTTGGTCTTCGCCTCTCCTACTACTTTACAGTTATCAGTTATACTACTCTGGTACTTGTCTGCTGATGTTACCTCACGGTGCTGATGTAGTGTCATAACTCGGACCGAGTTACACTAGATTCTACTATGCCTACTACCAATACCAAGGTTAACGAAAACAGGGAGTAACTAGATATCACTACAACCAATTCGGATGTTGCACACTTTCAGCATGTGATCATGACCATTACATGGACAACGCACGAGGATGACACCACCATTGTAGACTAAACCAAGTTCGGGAAAACAAATCCATTGTCGGCCTGCTTAACCGTGATCCGTGCTATGGAAATCCTTTGGCGATAAAGACAAGAGACAGTACTGAATTGTGTGCTATAAAACCACATGGCAAAAATGAAAACCATGTATGGTGATTGAGTTATCGCTGAATGTCTGATTGAGTGAAGTATCTGGATTAAACCAAAGATCTACAGCCATGGACCATCGTAGGGACATATAACAGTATCAAGCTACGAAGAACACTACGGATACATAGTACATGCAGCAAAGGCAGTCCCAGCTCTAGTTTTTCATAAATGACAGGTTTTAAGCTGTACTTAACAAATGCTACAAATACAGTAATCACAGTTTAATTAACATCCCGGCCAAAACACTTTAATTGGCTTTGTAAATGTTACTATTTATTCCTCACGGACACTCACACTCGCATTTCACGAAAGGGAAACTGCCAAGACCAAACGTGAGCCTTGCCGCCACCTGCGATAGGCTAAGTCATTGCATGGCTACTCAACATCTAATCGGTTAAAACAAAATCACAGTGAATAATGACGAATAGCGGTTAAACAGCAAATCTCAAGCATAATAATTTTATTTTTGTGGAGACGGCTTATTCGTTCTTAATACTTTATTCTCAGCTCCGCATACAAACTCAATTCTTCAATTTTGTTATAGAACTACCTCTACAAGATTTCTGCACCTCATGAAAAGTAAAAGCTTCAAACTTTCACATCTTTGGTGACATGAGTAATGAAAGAAGTGTTCCGCCCTTTAACCTTGCTGATAAAGATCTCTGAGAATGTAATTTGTGGTTATTGTGCTAATTAATTATTTGTTGGCAACTTCTGAATGTGGATGAATCATTATCAATAAGTTTGTAAATAAATCCACAGTAAACCAAGTTTGAATTCTATTTCTATTGTTTATTATCTCGGGCAAAGTTTACTGTAATGAATTACTGGATTGTTCAAACCCCGTTCCACAGTACAAATCAAGAGTTTCTGTTAAATAGCAAACCGATTGAGTTTCGAATATCCCATTGCTTCCCGTATTCCCCCTACCAAGAGTCTAGCCCTCTAACATCCCTCATAAACAATCTATTCTTGATTTGCAATTATCCACTGTCTTTACAAGTCAATTTTCGCTAACATGAACATTGTGTAGCTGCAAATAATTGCCCCAAATCTAAGTGTTCGACATTGGATGCTGACCACATATTTTTAAGTGGACTTGTTTAACTGATGGCTTTCGGTCATGCATCTGCACCAGATCATGTTACGATCCAGCGTCGGACACAGCTCCTACGTTCGCTAGCCAGATCAGAGTAAACGCTTCTCGATATATTGATAACGCATCAAATATGTCTTTCCTACCTCTTCTCGTCTGACTTCTGATTTCAGCTGGTTGGGGAACGCTTCGAACATAGAAGGTGTTACTGGTTTAGAGTTGTAAAACTTTGAGACCAGTCGTATCTTCAATTGCTTACTATGGCAAGTAGCAGTGTCTTCGAGGTTGATTTGTCGATAGGGAGTACTGCATCCTCATTCTATAAACTTCTGCAATATCTGATCCATTTATAACGTATATGGACAGCAGTTATGCACTTCTTGACCCTCCTTTATCTGAACACTTCTGGAAAGTGTCACAAATGTTCTCATCATTTGGCTGTATACACACATTAAGTGCTGTATATACAAAATTCGTCGTTATTTCCTACTGAATGTAATTTACAGCGTGTGAAAGTAGTCTGTTCAAATGTGTAGAAGGTTAGAAAGGATTCGTTACTTTTGACTTTTCGATAAACTTTTGTTACTACAAATAAATAGACGAAGCTCTGTCACTGTGGCTTATTCATATTATCATTAACTATTGAAAACGAATGCATTATTTAGAAGCAAGTAATCGTTCATGAATGTTTTTATCATCCATGAAAGTCACTGATTCCATTCCATTATTTATGTCACTTTTGGTACTATTTTTGAAGTGAGCTTTTCTGATATTCGAACGGATGCTTTGTCCCTAAACGTGTGATTGTTAATATTGCTTCATCAATTAAGTTAGTTGATATTTCTCGTCTCTAACCTCTTTGTAATTATAACGGATGGAAGAATTCATCCAGTAATTTTGACGCTGTGGTGCGAAACTTCATCAGTTATCAGGACTAGCTCTTGATGTAAAGCTCATAAATTTTCAACCAGATTAACTTACAAGTAACTGCAAATCCTAAATTAGGGGTATAGGTCCATCCAATAAATCAATTAAGAATTGTAAGTCGAAGGCTGTTTATATCTTATCATGATGCTAGTGTCCCAACACCATATCTTGAATTTCAAGTCACTTATTGAGAGAGGCATTCTATTCAACAAAATTTCTAAGTGAATGCAAGTATCTGACAACATATTTATGAAGGCGGAATATGATGATCGGAAATAAATTAATTCTGTATGTTTGTCAGCAGCGTCCGGGACAACCTAACTAGTACTTCAGTAATCACGTATGGACCAGTATTAGGTCTAGACGGGACTCCGTGAGCACAGGAGAAGGTAATGTAGTTGGAATTCAAATAAGCAGCGTGATCATCCCTAAAACGTCACAGATTATCTGAAATGCAACACATAACTATGTAAGTTATCATTAGTGAGACGAATAATTTATACACGTAATGTAGAACTGAACATCTTCAATCATGCGCTTCATTCTAATATGGTAACACAATACGATCCCACACGATGGATTTCAAAATCGAGTTATTACTTGTGTCTCGTTAAACTTTTAGTTCAATTGGAACTGTTACTAGTTCATATCATTTCAAATTTTTCACTGGTATCATTTCAAACATGGATTCTAATAATTGGTACTTCACTGTGGTAAGTGAAAGATTACTCAGCATGCTTTGATGTCTAGTGTTTATCAAATAAATTTAAGAAGATGAGGTTTAATAATTATTATTGGTGAAGAAGATTGTAGTTTATTACTGTTCTACTTCCGTTCAATAAACTAGAAATATCTAGAATACGTTTTTCGTTTGGTATTGTTTTGTATCAGCCAAGCCGTTTCCACACGTACTTGATACACTTTTCTCAGATTCTTTTCACGTCACACGAAAGAAGTGGAGCTTTTTCGATGTCAACAGTTTTTGGATGTATTGTTTTGTTGTATTTTCGGTTTCATGTGTAACTTCGGTGTGTGAGACTTGTTTATTGATAATTGAAGATGTCAACATTACCTAACAAATCTTTTTTTTCGCTATCAGATGCCTTATGGTTCTACGAATTGATGGCCATATAATTGCGTAGATGATATTTTGAAGAAACATTTGACAATTGACGTTGAAAGTTATTAATGTTGTATGATGATCATTGCATAACTATGAATAAAAGCACTCGGTTTATTATTTTATGTGAATCCAAAATGTATCCGATATCAACAATCACTTCAGACTCAAAAGGATTCATTTGTGGTACCAGTCAAAAGAATAAGGTTTAGTCTGCTGTTTTAATGAGTAATATCTCTCAGTACCTCCAAACATAAAAATTGAAAGTCAAAACAAAAGATTCTTAATAACGGCTTACGAAACAGTGATTAATTATCCATAACATATAGAGTATTTGTCAAACGATCCTTGATTCTGAAGACTTAACCATAATGAAATGCAAGTAGTTATATTTGTGATCACGATTGATTCTAATCCGAGCTTAGTGGTTGACCACGTTGATAGATATTTCAACTAAGGTGTGTTATTAATCAATCAAAAGAATCCTCGAAATAATATTTTTGATGTTTCGTGTCATTTTGTGTCGAATTTGTTAGGTTGTGAATCATTAGATTTTATGTCAGCCAAACTGAGAAGAGCTGTAAAAATCCACTACAACTCACTTAAACAAACGACTGATTGGAAAACAACTTTCGATCCGTTATCGGGATATCAATCCTATTTTCCGAGTGATGAATTTCATTTTCACAAATCATGCCGGTTTCCTTAGGATATAACCATAAACGTGGAAATGTTTGGATATATAATAGTTTTTAAGCATTTTATCTCCACTATATTTATATGACCTATACAAATTCATATCAGGAAACTGTTTTATACAAATTATTAGGACTTCCATTGCATCGTTTCACACTTTCTGTGTAGAAACGTTTATTCTACCATCAAATCAAATCGTGTTATTAATTTATTATATGTTCCATTCTCATTCTGTTTTACAAACACATTTCAATTTTTTAACATCTCCTTTGTCATTAAAGTGAACTCAATATTTTTCTACATGAAACAGAACCTGTTTAAATGACAAATATTATACAAACACCATTGAAACCTGTGCATAATTACATTTCTGGGGAAACCCGCAACGATCTCTTCCTAACACTTGTGTCTATAAGATGCTTGTGAATAAATAAAAAGCATATCTTATTGAGGCATGGGCTGTTTTCATGGACGTTAAGAGGAACGAGTTAGACGAGCTGGCTGGTACGACATTTGATTCGTCCAGTTGAGCTACTGCCATTACGACTTCAGTCGTGGATAGAAGAACGCGCAGACTTCGTAGTGATTATCACCTGGCTCTCAGTATCTGACTATCGCAACAAATTTGTATCAATTAAGAGGCTGGAGACATACTAAACAAACCAAATGGTCCAAATGATATTTTTTCTAGAATGAACTCACAGACAGAAATTCAACTGAATGAAATTTCAAGTGAACTTACTACTTTTGCCACATCAATCTCGCTGCTTGGGTACAAATCCTTACCATTTGGGTTGAATTTTTCGACTATAGTGCTCTGAAAGTTACAAATCAAGTTTTCAGTGATGGTGATTTAATTAAATTACATCGAGGTTATAGTATTGTTCACGATGCCAATATTGGGTTGGATAATGAGTGTCTTCAAAATTTATTCAAATATTTTAATGATAAAAGTGTTTACGTATTTCAAATGTCAGTTTCAACCTCATTCTATTACTGCCTAGGCTATACTGTAATGATAAGTCTGTAAAACATATATGCGTTGCTCAGCACTACTGATTCAACTTTGTCTACCTACGAATATGTCAGCACCAAGATCTTGTATTGACGCTTTTCAGTTTTACTTCAGGTTTGCTGTTAACGTCCAACAAATAGCGGACAATTTTTGGCTGTGTTCCTAGTGGAGAGTATGTATGGAAACCACATAAGGACAGAGTAATAGACATTTTACAGTCATTAAAAAGCAAAAATTTCATCAGACTGTTTTCTACAATTCAAAAATTTGTCTTCACTAGAAATGCAGCTTATTTAGGAATAAGTGTAGTTTCAGAGTAGAATCAAAAGCCTATAATTATCATTTCAGGTTTCTTCAGAAATCCAATAATACACAAGTTTCAATAATGTCAACATAACGTTTGCCATATTCGCATTAAAAGAAGGACAAGAAAAAGAAAGAAATAATAGTAATAATAGAATAATAAAACAGGTTCTGTGTAATTGAGAATATTGAGTTGATTTTGAAGAAGGAAAAGAAGAAA